TTACAGAAAGTACATTATGGCATCTAAATGCTATAACTTTCACTTGGAGCCAAACCTTAACACCTATACCCTTGTGAAAGGATGGGTTGGTAGGCATCTTTCTTGAATAAATTTTGTTCAATACGAAGCAATTTCCTGAAGCGTCATCTGCATTGTATGTGTTGGGTTTCCATATTTTTCAAAATTATATCTGTAATTTTCTGATTTAGCTCAGCCATCATCCTTTATTTCTGTGTCATCTACCAACTGCCTTTGAACAGGCATCTTTGTCTTTGCATTGACAAAAAAAAAGTTGTCAAATGAGGCACGTGCTTTTAAAGGGAAATGAAGTACGTCACCTAGTTTGAAATGTGAAAGCCATGTTGTGCTTGTTTTTCACTGTCATTATGTAAAGATATAGCATCTGGGGCATAAGAAAACGTCAAGAGAGAGGCCGCATTAGAGAGTGTCAGAACAAGTCAATCCTTGTGCTCTCCCTCTGCCTGGAAAATTTGTACAAAGTAGAGGTCTAAATAGGAAAAACTTTAAACTGTGGAACACTTGAAGTGATACATTGTATTTCTCTTGAAAGCTTTTCCATGTACAGGCAATTGGAAATGACTCCCTCAAACATGAGAACAATTTTAATAACTGTCAAGTGTCAATGAAGTAGACACATAAACAGAAGAAATGTCACAGTCCATCAGCCTTTCTTTACTTCTCCTATTCACTTCTCTTTTCTTAGTGACCTAAGCATATAGAAAAAATCTGTGCGTCAGTTCTGCACTTTATCTGCTGCAGAAAAATGTTGGTACATCTGCTTTGCACTTTTCCTTCTGCACAGCTCCCACCTAGCATTCTAATTGGATTTTCATTTTAAAACTTAAGAATAATCTGTCCTTGAGAAATGATTATGGTAAAAAAACCTGATGGTATTTCAGATTTATTCTCCTTCAGTGATTTCTATAGTGAATCTACTCATTGCACATCCTAACCCAAAAGCTTTTTAGTTGCTGTGCAGACAAACTCAATTTGGTACCTGAAAGTAATGCCACGGGCTTGATTACCCATCTCTGCCAATTTTATCAATGGAAAATGTGATTTTTAGTGACAGTTTAACACTGTAACACTAGAGAGAGATCAGAGGCACACTTGCATTTCAAACATGGGAGAAACAGAAAAGTAAGTCACACCGGAAATAAAGACCATAGATACCCTGTTTAGATTTATGGGGTCAAAGTATTAATTTTGCTTCATACAAAAGTAAGGACTGCAGATTTTTTTTTAGCATAGGAAAATTATGGGGGGGGGGGGGGGGCGGGTTAAATCAAAGTTATTTGTCAGGAATAAAGTTCAACTTAAAAACAAAGGCAATAGAAATATAACTGCATTATTCTAATCAATAAATAAACTGAGATAGTGCATTTTTGGGGCATTTAATCTTTTTCTACAACATTTTGATTTGTTTTTATTGGACATTTTACACCATACTTTGAGAAAGTCAACAGCAGGCTTTCCCAAGGATGTGCACTGAGGGAGAGAAAAGAGTTAATCCCATGTTTTCCAGAGATTAAAAGATAAAACATATTTCTAATGTATTTCCATTAAAAAGAATAAAAGAGAATTTCAGCTCTTCTGCAGAAGATAGTGATAGTCTCCCACTGCTACTCCAGCAGTCTGAACTCCTGGCTCAGCATTTTAGAGTCCTGGAGAGCCCATTTGTTTCAATTCCAATTTCTGACAGTCTATTAGAGACAGTAAGATGATATTTATTCCTCTTCTTCTAAAGGTGAAGAAAAGGAAGAGTTTCATCAGCAAACTAAGCAAATATAAATTTTCTTATTATCTATAGAATGTATATGCTGAATATCTATAAATCATGAAGGAGCTAGTTTGTTAGGGACTAGGGAAGGGACAATCTTTAAAAATAAGGGAAGACAGGCCCCTAAGAGAAATATAATACTGTTTCTTTTTAAAATATTGCAAGCTCTTTCGGTAATTCAGAGTTGTAGGAGAACTGGAAAGTAAGTTGCAATTTTCAGACAATTCTTATTGTTGGGCTATGGATTTTTTGTATTCTTTCTCTCTCATAAATAGCTTGCGATAACCCAGTCTAGACAACAGAGAAGACAAATTTTCTCACAATTCAAAAGTTTAATTCTTGGAGTCTAAGATAGTCACATTCTCATTTTCTTGTTCTGTTCATAGATCAGATATTGTGAGGAAATGTCTTATAACTGTGCAAGAATAACTCACCAATTTAAATATTCTTCTCTATGGGTCAGGAGGAAGGTGGTAGAAAAAGAAAGGATGTTTTCACTTATTTGAAGCCAGTTGTAAGGAATCGCAGAATCATGAGGGAAGATCACATATTTATAAAAACTCAAATCTGAAGTAGAAGATAAACCAATGTTATGCAAATCTTTTCAGGATTTAAATATATTCAATTTTTCTAGTGTAATAAGCATTACATATATCTCTATGCTTCTCTTTATGCCCCCCTATATTTTTCCACTCACAGAAGAGACCATTAGCTTAAAAAAGGAGTTTGAGGGTGGCCAGGTTTGGTTATAGTTTCTTCTAACCAAAATTTAGCGTATTTTGTGTTGGAAATTATTTTTCTCAATAAAATAGTAAAAAGGAAAAATATTGTGTTGGACAATTCAAGTTGTGTAGAACTTGGGAAAGAACTGCTGCGACTTCCAGGTGCCAAACACTCTAAGGATGGAGAGTCTTTTAAATTAAAGAAAACCTGTTTCCTTACTATGTCAGCAGGGTAAATATTAGGTAGTTTTTGACAAAGAACGCTTAAATGTACTGGTTTGAACACAAAAGGTTTATTCAATACATATATATATATTAGCTGTTCCCCTACTTGCAATGCATTTGCCAAGGTGGATCCTTGTTTTTGTTAACACATGACTATCCAAATTGTAATGCAGTTTGTCCCTAGAAACAATTTCAATCTGTTGGAGGCTTATGGTTTTTATCCCTTAATTTAGTTTTTCTCTCTTTGAATAAAATGTATTTTCCCAGCTAGAATTCTTTTTGCTGCTCTCTGAAGTTTATGTCCCATTCCATCAAAGCACTTTCAGGAAATCTTCCCTCCTTCCAAAGATTTGATTAGGATTACTCTTCCCAAAGAAACATAACAGAGGCCACAGAAATAAAACACTCTGTAATTTTGGTGCATCTCTTATTTCAATGTGAACATTTAAACCTGTATTTTAAACAAAGTTGATAAGAAGTCAAATTGCTCTCGAAAGTCTGAGATGCTGTGTAAGCAATGCCAAGAATCATATGAAATCTTGTGGAGGAGTTTCTGCTACATAATTTGAGAAAAATTTTCATTTACTGAGTTCTAAGTTTAAACTTTGGAAGACAGAAGTAAAAACGATTCCTTCAAAATTAAATTTAGAAAAACTAGGAATAAGATTTATCTCCTTTTAAAGTATTTCAGCCCTCAACTGAAGAATTCATTCTCTTTAGTAGTACCTTTAGGAATATTAAGAAATCAGGAAGTCCAAAATATGCTTAGATATATTATTAACGTGTCTGTTTATTTCCTGGAAATTGTTTAACGGTTATGGCTCATTGATTCAATTTCATTTCATAGTGAAAACATCTCTTGTGGATATGAAGCAGAACATTCTCACATCTTACTAATTACAGCTAGAACAGTCTGTATAGGTAGCAAATTATTTTCTCCCCTCTCTTTCCCACGTTTACTTTCCCTGGAGAAATCCACTCTACAGGGCATTTAAGCAATGAGGAAGATACAGAGGTTGCCAAAAGAGTATTATGTAGCAGATTGTCAGAGTATGATTAGATTGGGGTGAGGTCAAGTATGAAAACTTGCTGATATTGTCAGCATGACACTGAGATGCTTTAAAAAGTGCTACCTTCCGTTGCCTTTCTATGATGCAGTTACCTCTATAGAGCAGTCTGAGAGTACACTGGGCTGGGGTTTGAATTTTATTCAGTTGGGATGAAATTTTCCGTGTCAGTCTCATATAATTTCAAACTAATTTTGGGAAGAAATATTTATTGCTCTTCATTAAAACATCCTCTTGAAGCCAAATGAAGCTTGCTTAGCTGCCCTTGGAAGATTGTAGTTTTCCTCCTTGCACTGTTGAAATTCGTCATTCTCTTCTGAGGTCTTCAGAAGTTTTTAATGGCAATATTATACTGACCTAACAAGGTGAAAATGAAAATTTACTCATCTACTTTCAAAAGCTCTAAAGACTGTACCCTCACAACAGCAATATTTTATATAATGTGGCATCAATAACTAAGCATGTCAGCACATGCTGATGCCTAATTTTGAAGAAATAGGATAAATATTGTAATAATTAATCTTCTTTTATGCTGAAAAGAGAGAGGAGAAATCATGTTTTACTGGAATAGACCAATCTATTCCCGTTATGGAGCAGTTCTTGCCAAATAGATGGTCCATCAGCATTAAATGTATCTTAAGAATATGTTTTAAGACTATTTGAATGATCCTATATTACAAATCCTGCTGTTGACAGAAGACAACAGGTCCATGATGGGTCTGTGGATCAGGGACCTTCCTGTGCTTACAGTTAACCTCAGATCACCACGTGTATAAAAATCTCATTCCATCTGAGTAAATGAATAGTCAGATTTTAGTAGATTCTTAGTGGCCCCCAACAAGAGGGGAAGTGTGAGGTGGTTCTGATGGCCAGCACTAGAGGACTGTAATAGAATTCTGCTCTGCTTTTTCTATGTAATGATTTAGAGTTTGTCACAAAAATGTCATAGAATCTCATTTAGTAGGTAATTTTGGGGGAAATCGTTCAACCTATTCAGTCTGTACATTGCTCTGTCTCTGTATTTTGCATTAATAGACATTTAAGAAGTGCCTAAACACATTTAGATATTTCATGAAATGCTGCTTTTTGACCCAGTGTTGTACATGCTGTCATCACTCTCCCTTGTATTGTATGTGCCTAAGGAAAGAATCCTACAGAATTGGTTGCTTTTTCTCATTCCTCCAGGAACCTGAAGCTGACAAGTTTGGATCAAATACAGCAGAGTAGATGCCTCAAGGATTGGAATTTCTGCAGATTTTGTTGAAGTCAATGGTGAGTAGAGGGAGGAGTCCTAGATCAGTTTTCCATGGAGGCAAAGGCTGATGTCTGAGCCTTGTGGACCCCTGGGCACAGCACCTGTTCAGGTAGGGTGAGATACACGACTTGTAATCTTCAGGCCTGTGGGAGGAAATATGGCACACATGGAAAGGAGAGAGAAAAGAGCATAAGTATTGGAAAGGCTGCAGTGACAACAGGTTTTAAATGAGAGATGAATTTTCTACAATAAGAGAAATGAGAAAGGCATTAAATGGCAATCTGGATAAAGAGTTTTCACTGTGTTTTCTCTCTGTTCATAGAATTTCTCTTTTATTTTGTACTTTATATTTTCAAGAGTGTGAAAGGGATAAAAAAATTTACAACCCTGAAGTTTTAACAAATTTTTTAGAACAATTATTCGCACAGAAGACAGAACAATTGCTTTAGCTGCTTTCATAATCATCTAGTTTTATGCATATGTATTCAGGTTTCCTTTTATTTCTTTTCCCATCCAGCCCTCAAAGCAGAGAAAATGCTTTTTGATTTTTTTTTTAATCCCTACATCTTCACTTGTAGTCTGTCTTGTGAGAACTAGCTAAAAACTATAAAAACCTGAAACCAGTTAGTAGATATATTGCAGAAAATAAATAATTCACTTCTGGGATTGACATGGCATCATACTGAGTACATTGCTGGTGGCATGGGGAAAAGGCAGGCTCTTATGGGAAGGGAAAACCATTTTGTTTCCTTTCTAAGACCTCAGTACTGACAAGCTAGCACTCCCTATTTTATGAATTACCTCATGGGAATAACACACTTGATTGTGATTTATCTCTGGACCTACAGAGAGCACACTGGATGGAAAACAGTAGCATTTTTTCATGTAGATATTTTTATTTCACATAGATATTTTATCTTGTGCCTTTTTACCTTCTCTGAAGTACAAGATAGATTTACATGTTCTGAAGTTGTTCATCATCTAGGCTTGACTTACATCCAGAAATTACACATCCCAGCTTGTGGGACACAAGCTCCTAAAACCATGCAGCAAACTTATGTGTGTTGTACAGAAATGTGCGCCTGACATTCTCTTAGACAGGAACTTAAATTATTTCAATATTTCTATAGTAATTGATTACTGAATGTTTTTAGTAGGCTAATGAGAGGAGGATTAGCGCCTCTTGCCACATAAATTCACAGGTACAAGGCGGCTCAATACATCAGTGAGCAAAGTCTTCTCTGAAAGATAAGTCTCAACATTTGGTTCCCTGTGATGTAAAACAAACCTCCTAGATTACCTGGACACCTTTCCAGCCCCTGAGAACATCAGCATGCCATTATGGTGAATCCAGCATAGGCAACAGGTTTTACTGACTGTTCCTAAGCCACAATCCTAAGCAGACATTTTAGTGCACATGACAAAATAATTTTACTGATCACCTGTCCACTTTCAGGTCTGTTATTCACAGCTGTGTCTCATTTGCATAATTTATACATCAAACCAAAGTTGCCTCTTTCTGAGAAGGTTAAATGCTCCATACAAAGAAGATATGTGGAAATTCAAAACTATATAAGTTCAACATATTCTAATTGTTTATTGAAATAAATTCAGGTATGAAGCATTCCATGTGGAAAATACTTTTAGAGATGGAAAAATTGTGTTCCTCTTTCCACTCTATAATAAATCAGGTCAATGCAGAGTAACACTGTTCTTTTTTGGATGGTAGTCAAATGATTAACATGCCAGAAATAGAATGTTAGACAATGACTTGTTTAAATGGAACCTACAATAACTTTTGCCACTTAGATATTGAAATAATTTTTGGACTCCTATCAAGTTCATCAGTCTTCAAAGTCTGCCCTTCACTTTCTTTTCATTTGATGCCTATTGCATAAAAAAAAACTGAAAAACAAATATTTTCTTTAAATATAGCCATTTTCCAAGAGAAAATTTATTCTAAAGCAGTGGAGAATTATTGACATATCCATAGGTTGTTAAAAATCCTTTCTGAGTAGCTGCTCTTCAAGCAATTATTTCTTTTATCTATTAATGTAGAGTTTCACTGTTTGAAAATTTGAAAGGGACAGTTATTTTATACTATGTTTCTTATGACTAGCTTAGATGCTTGGCAACTTCCCCATCAATTCAAGATCAGTTTAGTTTTTTTTATTTTTATTACATTCATAGGATAACCAAAGCAAAACATGAGAACTAAATCATTGATTTGACCCAAAATTTAGAATCAAACTCTTTAGCCAAGAGAGATGAAAAAACATCTAAAACTTGAAAATGCAACTACGATGTATGAATGCAATCTTTTACAAGTATCTGTGCCTGTGTTTTATGGAAGTAGTGTTGAAGGAGCAAGTGGAAACTCCTTTCTGCTGTGGGAGAATATCTTTAATAGTAATGAGGAAATTTCATATAATTTTCCGTTGTATGCTTACTGATTGATGCAGGATGAGGCAAAGCTAGTATTAGCCATTATTCAATAGAAAATATTTGAGGAAGTATAAATCTAAACACATAGACAGCTATATGTGTAGATATTTGGGCTGGCAGATAAAATTGCAGATTTTTTGAGAATTCTGCATGTAGGCCTGCATGTGCAGGTAAATTGCATTATTTCAAACTTTTCTAAGGATTTGTAATGGCTTGTTTGATGGAGCCAAAATTCACCGTACATAATACAGTGAATTATGTACACCATCTCAAGAAATAAAACAGCACCTGTAATACATTTATATAATTTGCAAGAAAAAATAATTTATTGAGATGAGCCTTGAAATGCTAGTCAAGCAGATAGCAAGTAATGGCAGTTATGTTGCACTCCAGTGACAAGGTGTGATTGCCTTGTCAAATTCATGGCAACAATGAGATGACTTCCATGTGACAGAGTAGGAGTCAGATTCCGGCACACAACACATCATCCAGAACAGGCAATGTCTCTACATCATACAAACAAACTTTTGTGCACCCTGTAGTTTTCATATCAAATCAAGGACAACAGCAGTGGCATACGACTTGATCACCAGGTTAATCCTGTGAAGAAACTGATAAAGGAAGAATGGAATTTCAATGCAGAAAAGGCCAGAAAAATGAAGCAAATGTGAAACTCTAAGAACAGATATACAAAGTCAAATTGAAGTTCCCCCTGTCCCAGCATTCCATTCCTAGTGATAACTCAAAATAATTTTTCAAGAATAATATAAATTCTAAACAACTATATACAATGCTTCCCTGATATACTTTCCCAGGCTCTAAAAAACTGCTTTAGGAGGACTATCAATTGGAGATATTCCATATATTTTAGCACCCATAGTGGACTACATTTCAATAACTATTTTGAGTCTTGCTTAGAGCAGGGTAAACCTATGATCAGTCATAACATCTAGTGAGAAGGCTTTCATCACCTAAGTTGTTCTCATATTCTGGAAATAATCAGTTCCTTTATTTGCTTTGTACTTTTTAAGTACAATTTTTGTATGTTAGGTCCCAGTTATGCTTCATGAAGTTACACCAGGATTTTGACTAGATGAGTATACAGAGATTTTATAAAATAAAAATACATGAATTATTATATTTTGTTATGTTTTAAAATAATTTTGACATCAAAAATCACACGTGAGGTGGAAATCTTTGCCAATATCAACACTATCTTCCAAATTTCCTCTCTCCCATATTTTGCAGACTTTGTTTCTTTGAGAAGCCTGATAAAAGACTTGAAGCAAAATTTTTTGTTTGCAGCATGCTTCTCTAGACCAAATCATTATTCAGTACTTGTAAGAGACGTAACTATTTTTTCTTTACAGAATACTTATAAAAACTACAAAGGCAAGTTGAAAAGTCCACCTGATCACAATAATTCAAACCCAAACCAGCTACATAACCACCAGTTTTCTTTGATACTAAATAACTTAAATTTTATTAGTTTATTTGCCAACTGTTGCAGATTAAATAAAATACTTCAAATGCTAGGACGTTTCTTCAGAATATATGTCCCTTAAGGAGACAAATTTGGTATCTTCCTGTAGAGACATGTAGGGTAGATGTAGAGAGATGAAGTACATGAAAAGACAAGCTTTGTGTACGAAGCAGCATCTTGGGTTTTGTTGCTCTTTTGGTCACCCTTGATAAATCCTGGTTTCCAGGCTTCTTGATGATTCTTGTTGATTTATCATTTTCATTGGGTTGCCTCAGATTTCTCTTTATCCTGCATCAGTAGTTGATCACTGGCTGTAAAAATGGGATGACCAAGGTATTTCTTCACTGATCATTCAGTAAGATTAGAAACATGTTCCAAGCTGAGTAAGTCACAAGATGGATGACTTCCCAATGGCCACATAAAACCCATTGCTTTGCTAACTCAACAACTAACTTAAACAAGTAAACTTCCAAACCTCACTTTGGTGCTTCTCCTATCGTTGAGATTAAACATCTGGCTCTTCACTGCTTATGTTTTAGTTTCTACAGCACTGATATTCAGATAATGGAAAAAAAAAGAAGTGCACTGAGAACTACATAGCTTTTTTGTGTTTCCCACCACACTGTGTCAAATTTATATGAAATAATAGTCCGTCATAGAAAGAACCCCACACAGAATGCCAGTTCATTCCAGGAACTGCATGGTTTTGTCCAGTCTTTGAAAAATCACTCAAAGAGAAAAAATAAAAGGAGATGAAATCTATGTTGAAATCATGCTTTTATGAAATGCCATGATAAACTTCCTTTGAAAATATATATAGCATTAATATTGTTTAGTTTGAGTCCCCATTGAATAAAAAATGAACCTCAGCAGTATCATCCTTGTTCTATAAACCTCAGAGTCTGCTTAATTAAAAACTCCTCATTAAATTCACTGTCTAAAACTATTTGTCAGTGAACCATTTTTGCTTGTTTGTCAAAATTCCAGTCTCAGAAATCTGTATCATTATCTGCTAAGGACTATTCAGGTTAGTGTTTTTAACGATGGCTATAACTTCCTGTGAAGTTCTCCAAATGTCAGAATTAATTT